CGGTTTCATTATTAATAAAAAGTCATAAAAATTGAGAGAGATCTGAAACCAAAACAACAACAACAAATGACAAAAATTAATTATTCAGAAATCGTGAGATGCGGTCTGGTGTGATGCAGGTTTCAGAAAAACATTTTCTTTATCGTGTCAACGCTTCGATCTTTATTGAGATCATCTTCAGGGCTCAAAGTGTTTGTCTTCTTTGTAATTGTGCATTCTTGCGTGTCGTGTGAGAGTTTATGAATGCACAGAGAAAAATAGGTACTTCAATTTAAAATAAGTAAGCTGAGTTCGAAATCTGCGTTATCCTGGAAATTTAAAAAAACTAATAACATGAAATGTTGAAAATAAATGGGGTACAATTTGGATATTTTCTACGACGAAGAGTAAAAAGGTTAAGGGGGTGTCTCGTATATGGTGGGGCACTCTGTATAGATTGACAGTTTTGAGTACCTAACGTGAGTTGAGAGTGAGAGTATTTATTAGCGTAAATATAAAGTTAAAGGGGATGATGGCAGAATATTGACTACCCCAACGACCCTGAATTAGATTAGCTATATAATAGGTGTAAAAGCTAATGGAGGAATATGGAGTACTCCACTTTCTTTAATTGAGTGAATGACATGTAATTAGGAAAGAATTGATTTAAAAATGGGTTTGGACCTAGGAACTGCATGTGGAAAATAAAATTAAGGGAAAAGATATTCGATTTTTTTCTGACAGTCAGGCTAGTCTTAGGGCATTACAAAAAGATTCGTCAACCTCACGACAGGTGGAGGAAACTATAGATCTTATCAATAGGATCTCTTTCAGGTTTGAGAACAAGGTAACCCTTATTTGGATACCAGTACATAAAAGACACCATGGCAATGAAAAGGCGGATGGCCTAGCCAAAGAAGGTTCTAATACTGCGTTTGTTGGATCACAACTGTATTACCTCACTCTATGAGTACAGCGAAAGAGAGTATCAATAACTGGGGGATGAAACAATTCCGTAGGGAGTGGAATTTATCCCCCGGACACAGGCAATCAAAAGAGTTTGTTAAGGCTATCAAACCAGCAGAATCGAAATGGCTATTCTCTATCTCAAGGAAGGGAATTAGGAGGCTGATAGGTATTCTGACGGGCCACTGCCCACTGAGAAGACACCTCTTCGTAATGGATATCCTACCAGATCCCTTTTGCCGTTTTTGCGAACTAAAAGAAGAAACGGCAAGGCACTACCTCGCAGAATGTGATAGGTATGCTAGGTCTAGATTTGAAATCTTTGAAGGAGAGGACATCACCAAATCACTCCCCGTGATAAAATGGTCCAAAATCTTGGGGTTTGTGAACAAGTCCAAGAGGTTTATGCAGGACACGTGAGCCGACCAAGTCCCGGACCTTTTAGGGATGGGGTACGAGTCTACCCAAGCATTTAACCCCTCGGGTCTTGGTCGCCCACCCTGCATTTTATATATATATATATATGCTGAATTGAGCTACCCGTTGACAGCACCCGGAGCTGGACGGATAAGACTGACGTCTATCCCTGGACTGCCAACACCCGAGGTGGGTGCTTCTCGAGCCTGCCGGTAATTTATTGTAAATTGTAATTGTAAATATACTTTCAGTTTTTGCTTATTTCTGATAGACAAAGAGTATTTTTAATTAAACAATTTTGGCTGCAAAGCGGGCCATCTAAAAACCTTTCTAATGTAAATATGAGGTAGCATCCCAGTAATAACAATTTTGAGACCAGAAGCAAGGTATGTTTTTGTCGGGACGAAAGAAACTCTCGATATTTTTCTAAGCGAGCCGTATGAATTAACTTAAATAAATAACTTTTTTTAAAATTTATTATTAATGAACATGTTAAGAGTAAAATATTGTTCTATATTCACCAAATTGAATATGTTTTGAGTTAAATTTTTTTTGAATAAAAAAAAGTTTTTATATCAGGTACTACTAAAATTTTATAAAGGCATAGAAGTCTAAAAACATAATTGCTACTTGCATCTTAATAGCTTTCGATCATTTTTCTCGATTTCGATGGTTTTTATTACCAAAATGTTCTGAAACGACCAAACTGCATGTTGTACACCTCACAGGCCTCAAGAGGGTTCTCACACTGCTTGATGTTTTTTTAAATCAAAAAATCAACTTCTGATTTTTTAACTTTAGCTAAGGGAAAGAAGAAAGGAAAGAAGAAGGAAGTAGCGTAAATTTAAGTCATTCGATGGAGCAAGAAAGAGAAGTAGTGAAACATTTGAATAAATTGAACAAATTCAGTTTTATTCCTGATTGACTTGGAGAAGTTACGGACGTGGAGAGTCACTGATTTTAATAAAATTATTATTAAATTATTATTTATTTTGGTGAGACTATTTAGACAATAATTAGACTTGTGTCTTAGCGGTTTCCCTATTTTTTAAATATGGATATGAATTACATATAATCGAGGCGTCGGTGGCCGCAACGGTTTAGGCGTTGAGGCGGCGCTCATCACTGTAAGGTAAAGGACCCGGGTTCGAATCCAGCGGCCGTGCATTCGAACCCGACATATTTATAAATGGGCTTTTTTTCAAAAATACTGGCACCCTGACGGTTTATATGACCACTCTGTTGCAACCCTCGTGAAAATAAAATAAATAAATACGTATAATCCATTCTTGCTTACCAGTCAATGTTTACCAGTAGATTCGGTGTTTTCGTAGGATAAGAAAATAATATGTAAGATTTTGTAAAATAATATTAAGCTTAGGAAAAGTTAGAACAACTTAAGATTTTTTCAGTAAAATAGGCCATTTTTTAAACCATTTGGATTTCTGCTAAGCACCCTTTACAGGGTTGAATTATTCGGTGGCTATGTTTTTTCTCCGACATTAGGTGGTCTACTTGAAAATTCCTAACCTTTCTGGGTTTTATCCAAATTAAACTTTATTACAACACATGCAATGCTGAATTTGTTTCATTCTTTGTCGACAATGTTTAGATTTTAAGCTAGAAAATTAAATATGAAATCGACCAAATCCTCCTAAATTGTTTAAATATATCTTACGTTCTAACTTAATTACGGAGACCAGGTTTATGCCATTATGTGCTGTCTATATGCTTTTAAACGGATGTGTGTAGGTTGCCGGACTCGATTGAAAGTTTTCCCTATTTTCTGATTTAAAAATATGAGAAGTAAAAAATAATTTGCCACGATAGTTCAAGTAGTTAGAGCAGCGGCGTATTGAGCCGAAGATCGTCGGTTCGAATCCCCCTCGTGACACTAATTTTTCATCTCAGCCAAGAATCTTAGGTAAAAAGAATAGTTAATTGGAATAATTAATATGGTCAAACATGACATGGTGAAGCAAATATGGGGTAAAGAATAATTTGATGTTTTTTCCCAAAAAACAGCATTTCGAGATGTTTTACGATACCGAAAAATGATAATAATTTTGCTTTCTAAAAAATAAATATTTTACCCTTTTTTAACCCTTCGAATCTCTCCTACGACGAGGAAGAAACAAAAGTCGGGAGGACTAACATATAAATCTATAATTCAATCAAATTTTCAACAAGGTGATTTATTTTTTCCCCCAAAAGTCTATAAAAAAATATATTGTAAAAAGTCTACATTTTATTTTAAGGCGTTTAAACCCTTACAAATACTTCATCACATTGAGATTTGGTAGCGCACAAAACACCTGGCATAATGAATGAAAGGCATAATGAAATAATTTCGTTTGAAATTTTACGTTCTTCTGAAACAAGAAAATAATTTATCTGTAGGTAAGCTTATTCAATTTTATAATTACAATTAAAAACAACTGCCTTTTTTAATTAGAATATTTAAAAGTTATTGATAGTTTAATATAACATTTAAGCGAGTAAAGTATATGGGTAGTTTGATAATTATTCGGTAATCGTGAGATGCGGTCTGGTGTGATGTAGGTTTCAGAAAAACATTTTCTTTATCGTGGCAACGTTTCGATCTTTATTGATATCATCTTCAGGGCGTGGGGTTTACAAACATTGTTTTCATTTAACAAATACATGTAGGATGTGGAAAAAAGTGAATTTATACAATACAAAAAATATTTTTTATATTCAATCAAACTATTTCTACTCACTCAAAGAAGCCGACTGCTTATACAAAAATGTCTTTCTATACCGGCTTCCTTCCTCACCGAGTGAATAGAAGCCACTTTTTCCCACATCCTATACGTATTTGTTAAATTTAAACAATGTTTGTAAATCCTAGGCCCTGAAGATGATCTCAATAAAGATGGAAACGTTGGCACGATAGAGAAAATGTTTTTCTGAAACCTACATCACACCAGACCGCATCTCTCGATTTCCGAATAATCATCGACTAACGGTCACTAATCACCACGTAGTTTGATAACTTTATTTTATACCAATTACAGCACTTTCTTGTTCGTTGTACAGTAAAATCCATGTAGGTTGTAATTTTTGCCGTTTTGTTTGTCGTACTTAGGCTAAAACGATTATCGTTCCTGCGTTGCCCGGGTCACGTCCAAATGTATATGGCCGTTACTTAACAAGCCGAAAACGTCTCTGTTCCAAGAGGGGGTAGCGAACGATAAATTTTCCCATTTACCACGGTGCGTGATAGTTTTGCCAAGTTGAAAAAAAGAGAACATCTTCGAATATCGCCGGCAGAGATTGAATAACAATGGTCCACCATATTCCAGAAATGTGCTTCTCGGCCGGCCTCGAAGACGTAAAAAATCCCCTGGCATGTTTCGGTTTTTGACGCGAAAGAAAGGCCACCTTGTATTGTTCATGCCCGCCCATGTCTTGAGGGGATTACGTGGGGAGGTATACCATTGAGAATCACTTTCTGAAATTCGCAACTTTTAAACCCGCTCTTACACAAAATTAAATAAGATTTGCTTCTTTTACTAAATAAAAATATAACTAGTTGCTTACATAACTTTATTTAAATTACACAACATATTAATTTATAAACCAGTAATTAAGAACTTATAAATTTCTTCCTTTTCTTCTTGATGGTACATTAGGATGCCGCAGTTATCAGATCTGAAAGCAAATTTAATGAACAGTCAAGAACAAAATGTGTTATTATACAAGGATAGTTGGGTTTTAGGAATAATCAGAAATTTCCTATTTGAAAAGAAACTGCTTTTTAATTATTACAAATCCTTATCCTCCTCATCCTTGACAATTGGAATTAAGCCGGTTTTTATATCTGCAGATAATTAAGATTGTTTTTCCCTGTTGATGACTTTAAAATATGTGGGTCGAAAGCTTGATACTAACAACTGAATTTACTTTTTCATCATTTAATTCATCATTAATTTGTGAATTATTATAAACATAATAGTTGTTTAATATTAACTACATAGTACTGTACAAAATAATCAAATAATTCAGATAAGAAATTAACACAATACTTTGACAGATGAGTCTTACAAAGTTTCCTTTGCTTTTTAAGTAAAGAATGTATCTGTTGCCTGTAAATATGAAATTACTTATTTCAAATTTGGGGATATATGTATTTTATTCTCCGGGAAACAACACTCATAATATGCCCAGCACTACACCTGGAGGCCACATGCTAGCAAAGAAACCTTCCAACCATGCAGTCAACATGAAGGATTAAGAGGTGAAGAGGTGTCAAAGCCATCTTCGTTAAAGTGGTCGTAGCAGATACTCAGACAGGGGAAATGTAGATAAACCTTGGGAAATAGGCTTAGGATGGAGCATAAATTTGGTGTAGGACTTTGGAAGCGGGGGGGGGATCGTGGGGATCGTTCATTGACAAAAGTTATGTTGACGTACTTTGGGTTGGAGAGGTTAGTGACTAGCAAGGAGCTTTAACAATTTGCCTGAAGACTTTTGTTTGGAAGGACTAGATGGGCTGAATATTACATTTGATGATACTAGATGGTCGCAGTAATATCTTCTATAAAATTAGTTTAATTTTGACTCAAAATAGATTCGGTCGAGAAGGTCTACGTAGTAGTCCAAGTAGTCTGTTGTATATTAAATCTTTTGTGAGGATTCCACGACAGTCTGCTGTGTAGGTCTCGTTCAGTGTGGTCCTACACTATTTGCACCGGTTATTGATAAACCAAAGTATTCTTAGATGCAGGACGTTGTTTGGATAGAATTTGGTTTAGGACATAGAATTGCGGTGTTATCTGCATGGGTGGTAATCATGGTGTGACCAAAAATGCTCCCTTGTGAGACGGCTGCTCGTATTGGTCTACTGAGGATAAGGTAAAAGGGGTTAGTTGGAAGGAAATTTTTTTCTCTATAGCGGAGGAAATGGTGTCAATGACTCTGACAACTTCCAGGATCGTGGAATGATAAGCACGTAAGCCGAATTTGTGGGAAGATAGGCTGTTATCTTGATAGTATTAAACTTTTCGAAACGATTTACAAAGATTTTGCACATCACAAGAAGAATGGGTCTGTAGGAATGTATGTCCAAAGTAAATGTACTCTTTTATAGAACGCGGTATATTATGAATTTACTTATTAATCGTTGGATATATGGATCATGGGTGTGGTATTTAAAAAAAATTGCTGGTGTAATTCGCCAAGCTTCTTAAAGTAATTAACGTAATTGAAAATTATTGAAGTGCTATGAAAAATATTAATAAACCCTCGAAAATTGGGCGAATTAGAACAATAATTGGGGGCGTCGGTGGCCGCAACGGTTTAGGCGTTGACACGGCGCTCATCACTGTAAGGTAAAGGTCCCGGGTTCGAATGCAATGCCGCTGGATTCGGCAGGCCCTGCATTAGAACCCGACATACTTATAAATGGGCTATTTTTTAAAAACACCGGCACCCCAAGGGTTGATATAACCCTCGTACAAAAAAACAAAAACAACATACCTTCAACGATTAATTAAAGTTAAACGAGGTAAACGCATTCTAAAATAAATATTAAGTTGTTAATATGTTAAGATTACCCAATATGGAAAAAAAATTCGTATAATTAATTGTATAAATGCGAAATAAATCATCACCTTTTCATTCTCCGAGTTTTTCTTCAGTACAATTATTCGTAAAAAGGGAAAACTAGAATGACAGTAGTTCTCTTCGTACCTGAAAAAATATTACATTTATACCATTATTTGTGGCTTAGGTATCCAAATAACGAGTTAGAATAAAGTGTTTGCCAAAAAATGTATCAAAATTGCGATAAATTTAACGTATATTTGATATTTTAGCCATCATAAATTTATGTCAATGAATTCCAAATTTTGGGTTTTGAAGGTAACACGAGTGGTCTTTGCATCGTATGGTCAAGAGGTGATATGATATATATATATATATACACATATGTGTATGTCACACATACACACACACACACACACACACACACACCTTTGAATGCTCTCCAATACATCCCAAAATAATAGGCTGCGGTAAAACAAAAAAAACACTGAACAACAATGAATTAATAGAAGATGGCTACTCGCGTCGAACCAAAAAAAAAATTTTTTTTAGGGGGCGATCATAAAATATCGAAAGACGTTGTGTTATTGCTTATCATCAAACAAAGAAAATTACAAAACACACAGTGCTTTGGATAAAAGATGAAATTTAATATTTTAACCCCAAACAATGATTTTCCGTTTAATAAATAAAAGATTTTGCATATTTAAACTTAAGGATTAAATTAAAAGAATAAACTTGGAATATGTTGAGATTAAACACAAAATTTCTTTGTACAACTAAAATAACTTTTTACAACTACAATCAAAATAATACAAATAGTAATTCACTTATGGGTGAAAGCTGGAATTTTTCTTTTTCCCCAAGCAAAATCCTGACTATTCATTCTAGGTATTCCTCTTTTTGAAATGGAAAGGCGAGCCTAGATAAATTTATTATTAAAAAATAAAATAAATAGCAAAATAAAATAGTTTTTATTACGAATTTATTTGAATGTTTAAATCGTGATCTCTTGTATTGAATTTGTCTGTTGCTCAATCTACAAATTGCGCAAAGTAGAAAGCCCATTCCTACTTTTTGTCGTAGTCCCAATTTAGGTATTATAAGAAAGACGTCGTTTGGAAAACAGAAACCTTTAATGGAATAGTTTGTTGAATATTATGTAGGATGTATTTGAACGTTATAGGAGTTGCTTGGAAATAATGTAGCTAATTACAGAATACAATTAGGTGTGGTGATTAGTGACCGATAATCGATATTTATTTAGAAATCGTGAAATGCGGTCTGGTGTGATACAGGTGTCAGAAAAACATTTTCTTTATCGTGCCAACGTTTCGATCTTTATTGAGATCATCTTCAGGGCCTAGGATTTACAAACATTGTTTAAATTGAACAAATACATGTAGGATGTGGACAAATATGAATTTATACAATGCAAAATATATATATTATTTATATTTATTTTATGTATTTCTCCTCACTCAAAGTGTTTGTTTTCTGCGTAGAAATAGAAGTAGAAATACTTTGATTGAATATAAATTTTAAAAAAAATATTTTGCGTTGTATAAATTCACTTTTTCCACATCCTACATGTATTTGTTCAATTTAAACAATGTTTGTAAATCCTAGGTCCTGAAGATGATTTCAATAAAGATCGAAACGTTGGCACTATAAAGAAAATGTTTTTCTGACACCTACATCACACCAGACGGCATCTCACGATTTCTAAATAAATACAATTAGGGTTGAAGAAAATAAAACTTTACGGATTTGATAACTTTTTTTTGAAATCAGTTAACCTAAATCGATAAATACTCTTCAGTTATATTCTCTGGATCAATAATCAATATAATTAAACGTTTGAACAATCATGATGGTGTTAACAGTTAATGTTCTACTTCAGTGAAATTTAACACTAAAACGTAGACTGTTCCCGATTTATATAATTGACTTTTTTTAATAAAATTAATCATTAATTTGTACTTACTGCTGTAAACTTTTTTTTATATTGTATCCAATTTTGTGCGATTCATAAAATTGTATTTAGACTAACGGAACCATAACTGTTTTAATTTCTCGCTTTACACATCGGACGTTAAAAGGTTTTCTTTTTGAATTTACCATTTTTTTAACAGCGTGTGGTATTTCAGGCACGTGTCTTTAAGCGCGGACAAATACATTTTGGCCCAAAGCCATCTCCGGGGGACCTTCGTAAACATTATTTATCTCTTTCACATGAAAATAATAAAAATTAAAATAGCAAATTAGAAAAATTTCGAGCAAATCATAATTATTATCGTTATGAGATTATTATGTTTTATATGTAGAGTTGACGTACTGTATGGATGTGTGGTGATTAGTGACCTTAAATCTATAATTATTCAGAAATCGTGAGATGCGGTCTGGTGTGATGTAGGTTTCAGAAAAACATTTTCTTTACCGTGCCAACGTTTCGATCTTTATTGAGATCATCTTCAGGGCCTGGGATTTACCCTGATTTGTTTATATTTAACCAATACAAGGACCCTTCAAAATCCATCATATATAAACATAAAACAGCAAAATCTCACTGGCTCTCTCAACACAACACGCAAGAATGGCACAATTACACAGAAGACAAACACTTTGAGTGAGTAGAAATACTTTGATTGAATATAAAAATATATTTTGCATTATATAAATTAACTTCTTTCCACATCCTACATGTATTTGTTCAATTTAAACAATGTTTGTAAATCCCAGGCCCTGAAGATGATCTCAATAAAGATCGAAAATGTTGTTCTGTAACCTACATCACACCAGACCGCATCTCACGATTTCTGCATAATTAAGTTCTGTATGGAATTTATCTGGCGTAGTTATTTCTTCTCTATCTGGTTCATCTTGAGCTTCGTATATCAACTCAAAAACAGTCCAATTTAAAAGAAATTAAGTACAACCGTTAGGTTCTACTTATAGGGTAGTTCAGCTTTGCAAGTGTATACTGGCGTAAGAATCCACCGAAAGAGAAAGATAGATGCATAGAGACTTTAGAGGTCTTGACAGACTTGACGCACCAAAGAATAATTAATGACCTCGTTCAAAGTTATAAAAATTATTTGGTTGTTTACAATCCCGCTCGTGCCATTGACTTTTTTTATCTCAACTAAAAACTTTAATTAATTGTAATGTATTAATTGGTCAAGCGAACCACGAAATTAGTGAATTTAGTTGTTTACAATGTTGAACGGAATGGATCTCTCGTTGGTAAAAAAATTGCATTGTTTCCTTTTCACTAGATTGATAGCTCGACAGAAAAAAAGAGGCTCAAAATGGTTAGTAGCTCCATTTGCGGTTATGCCCTTTTGTTCCATATCCCATTCAATTCCCAGTTTTCCCTTCCTACAAATCCCGCATCTGGGCTGCCCTGCAGATGTCGGCGAAATTGATATTATCTAACATAGACGGGCTTATCTGTAAACAATTTGCTACGCTATGCTCGAAGAAGAACTGGGAACCCGCTGACCGACGGGAATTATAAGCCGGTTAGTCAATAGGAGATGCAATTAAAAAGATAAAGTAAAGGCGAGTCTTTTCTCATGAATAACCGCGCGTTTGTTTTCTTTTTACAATTACCTGTGATCACACGTTCAATCCTCTTTTATTTTTTGTTTATATGATGGTCACTCAACAAAGGGGCCGGCTTAATTGATATAGCTCATAGTGTCAGTATGAACAGTTCACTCATCGAATCGAAAGGACAATCAATAATTGTTCTAGATGATAATTAAAGTCTATTTTTTCCCAGGGATCATCTGTAGGTTTTTTTTTTCTTTGAATTTGTATTGATTTAAACTTTTGTAGTTTTTACTTAATAAATACGTAATTTCATAAATAACAATAAAGACCAACATTTTCATTTGATGTAACATACCAATAATTATTAATTTTAGATTTTTTATTGATGTCTGCCTAGGCGATAGGCTTGTCCTTATCAAAATGTTTTGTTAAAAAGCGAGAATAGGCGGACTACTATAACAATTCGGTGTTTGAATAACGTTTAGAGGGCAACTATTTGAAGATGAATGTTGCAACTGCATCGTAGCTTTTTAAAATAATCTTTGTTTGTCGTGGCATGATGCTTTCGAATCATCGACATCAGCTTAAACAGTTTTAACAGCGTTGCGAACAATATAACCCGGGTTTACAGCGACAACAAATAACTGTCGTCGCATGAATACATAACAGAGCTGTTTGAGCTTGTTTTTTGTTAAATCCATTATATTTCGTGGTCCGATTGACTAAATAACTTCTTAGAATCAATTAATTCTTTATGTAAGGTTTTAGTTGGAATGAAAAAGTTCGTATGACGAGCGGGATTCGAACCCAAGATCTTCGGCCTTATTTTTTATGTTAACTTTTGCTTAAATTTGTGTGTTTTATTTGAAAATTTGTTAAATTAATATTAAATAACAAATTTTAAAGAGAAATACCGTTTCTCTTCCATTTTGTTTTGGGAATTTTTGTATGTTAAGACAGCAAGCATCAACAAGTTTTGTCTAAACCCTGCGGCACGCGTGGTAATTACATAGTGTGTGTATCTTCTTTCGTCGGCCCTCACCTACCGGCATAAGTTGTTACCATTGATTATTATATCATCCCTTTCCTATGTTATAATTTATCCGGCCAATGATTGAGCCTTAAAAGAAACCATAGTATTTCGAAACTTTAAAAAATGTTAAGATCCATGACTTCAATCAACATAGTGTTAACGAAAGTTTATTATCTCACAGTCAACCCGAGGTTAATATTAACATTTTCACAAGAAAAGGACTAAATGAAAAATTAAAATTATAGTGTTGGATTAATCATACAAACCAGGTAATTTTTTCACGAGTGTTTCTCATCGAGATAATCTGATCTTTGATGTTTGCCATTGTTCACAAAATTTACTTGCAAATTTAAAACGTGAATATTATTTTAGAATTTAACACAATTTTGATTTAACCTGGCAATCAAGAGAAATATTTTTTTGATAAAAAAAAAAATCACACATCATTCTGGCATTTTAAAACACGTAGATATTACAAGTCTCTAACTGGAAAAAGATTTTTAAACAGAGTAATATAATAACCATCCTTGGAAAACTTGAATTTATTTCGTTTTAA